ACAGACTTCATTACATTCTTTGCTGTTTGCTTAGTAGAGCATGTCCACCTGCTTTTAATAATTCTTCTATTTGTTTAACGAAACAGAGTGGAAAAAGCTGCTGTGTCAGCAAGGAAAAGATGGAATGTAGATGAATAGGAACATGTTTTTCTGTTTTGTCTTTTCCTGTTGGAGATGGAGTATTCATGCCACGACACTGCTCCAAATTCAATGTGGAGTCTTTAATTTTAGAGAATGATTGCTAAATATGCCACTAATTGGCATATTTAGGGATTTAGCATGTGTCAGATTTACTGTAACTCTTGCTTCATCCATCCATCCATTATCTATACGCCGCTCAATCCCCACTAGGGTCGCGGGGGGTCGCAGCTATCCCAGCTGACTCAGGGTGAAGGCAGGGGACACCCTGGACAGGTCACCAGTCTATCACAGGGCTACACTTAAGAGACAGACAACCAAGCACACTCACATGTTTTTAGACTGTGTGGGAGGAAGCCAGAGAATCCAGAGAGAACCCAGCTGCACAGGGAGAACATGCAAACTCCATGGAGAGAGAACCGGTGACCTTTTTGCTACGAGACAACGGTGCTAACCACCGATCTACCTTGCAGCCCACTCTTGCTTCACTTTTCTTCAAATAAAGCAAAGGTTTACCAGATTTATTATCCATTTTCTGGGTTACCAGGGTGACAAGTCCCTGTCTGTGTAGTACATGATTGGTTGGCTGGAAAGGAGTGACAGTATAGTAGTACAATCAATGGTAAGGATACGTTGATTAGAAACATATTTGTGAGACGTTACAAACGTAATCTGACTTCAAAACATAACTGAGAATGCAGTTTAGCTGTATAGGAACATAATTGTGTGGAAACTGGGTTGATTGGATTAGTATCGCTGACTCCACGTATAACTGTGTCACAGTGGATTAAGTCATCTCTGATTCATCCAAGATTGAGGTTTTTTTTTTTTTTTTCTTTTACAGAGAAATTAACCTAATTTTTTTTTTTTTTTAATTATTACTTTGAGTGCATCATGCAATCACAGGCCTCCAGCATCAATTCTGTGCTGCAGCTTTAGTAGCAGGTCAACAAAGAGCAGTTTATATTATTTGTTACGGGCTAAAATGAAAAACAACAGAACTAATTTCTCAAGGTCTTCTTCTCTCCTTGGTGCAAAAAGTCAAATCAACGTAATGTTTATGTAAGACCTAATTTGAAATAAATAATCCACCTGTTCATGTTTCGCTCTATTTTCCAAACAAAATTCTGAGACACTTAAACTCCTTCACTTGGGGCTGCAACCAACCCCCAACCCACAATTTTCTGACTCTTGTACTCGGCTTGCATTGGCCACAACAAACTCAGAAGTGTACTTAGAGTGCAGAGCAATTTAGGCCAAACGTTGATGAACGACTTTGTGGTTGCAGCATCAGACCTGTGGCTGTATGTCTTAGAAACTCTGGAGAAGAGAGGAGCAGAACTGACCATCTGTTGGTGAGTTGGATCAGATGGTAGGGAACTGGGCAGCCGGACAGGCCTGGTAAACATGAACATATTTCATAATAACTATCACACTAATAATATTAACTTTAATATATAAAGCGTCTTTGAAAAACAAAGTTTGCAAAGTGCTTTGACAGACCGGCCTAACAAGGAGATTCTCAAGAAGACAGTATTACAACAGAGAGCCAGTCAGGCCAAAGAGAAAAAAATGGGTGAAAAAATGCCATAGTACAGAGTAAAAGAGAATAAAGGAGGGACAACATCACATAAAGCCAAGTCTATAAAAATGGGTTTTAAGAAGAGATTTAAAGTAAGACGCTCATTCTGCAAGTAGTGAGGATGAACTTGGAACAGAAGCGTCCGTCTGTGGGTTCTTCAACTCCCACCTCTAGAAGAATCTCTCAATTATTTCTTTTTAGTTGATAACACACACTCTGACTTGGGTTTTTTTTTTTTTTATCAAGATTTTAATAGTAAAGAAATGCTTTCAAGGTGTCCTAATGCACAGTCCTTGGATAAATGGCTGCTATTCTACAGTCACCTTGATGTACGCCGAGTACAGCATCAACAAAGAATGTTATATCAGACTGAAGATTGGTAATGAAATGACTTTTAACTCCATAATATTTACATGAGTTTGGATAGGATTTCGACTGCATTCATCCTGTCAGCATGACCCAAATTCTTTTTAAATGCATTTTCAACCAGCAGCACAACTCCAGACTGCAAGATATCACTGAAATACACTCTTTTTTTTAAACCCCCCCAGAGCTCTGGTTGCACTAATGGCACCGCTATTATTGAGTGAAACTGGCTGCTGGTTATTTGTTCCACAGTTCACTTTCAGATAATTCACTCTTAACCCTGTGCAGCACCAGTGTTTTAAAGGATTGCAATGGTGAGATTTTGACAGCTGTTGGTCCCGGACCAAGGTAGTGTTTTGGGATATTTGGGGATATTATATTTGAAAATCTATATTTAAAACAGCAGCATAGTATATAGCATAGCATAGTACTTTATTCAGTTTTGCGATCAAAGTTGCACTGATGCGTTACTTGAAAAGTACTTTCTAAACACCAGACAGGACACGTTCACTCAGTGTCAGCAGTGCACGAACTTTCAAGTGAAACAGCGTCTTCATATAGAGCAGTAATTGGTTGAGAAGAAATATACCAAACACATGATGCAACAAGAATGTGCAAAGCAGCAATATATTAAAAAGCAAATGCAGTTATTCAGCTGATGTGGTCCATCAAGGCTCACATATTCTACTGAGTGATAAATCTACTGACTTATTTTGTCTGATAACAGCCAAACTCTTTCTTGGATTTATTTATTTTTTCTTTTTTATTAAGTCCAGAAGTAAGTGTGTCCAAGAGTCCACACTAGAGGTGGTTAAGGTTATAGACTGCCATCAAAACTAGCGAGGAAAGCACAATTTGTATGCAGGTCTGGATGAGCTGCAAGCAGAGAGGGTCATCTCAGGGTGAGAAAGTGCTCCTGCCCTCCAGGTGGCCTGCGGTGCTCCCTCACATTTTTATGGATTAGAATCTGTATTAATTTTACTATGCAGTAGCACTGACTTTATGTCCTCTGCAGTGGCATAAGAAAGTGTAAATGCTGCAGCACAAAAACTGGACATGCGAAGAAATGAACAAATAAATCATTATAAACACTAACAACGTCACAAAGAAGCTGCCGGAATGATTAGTATTTTCAGTTAGTTAATGTTAATTAGTTCTGAATTGTACAATCCTAGAGCATATATTTTAGAGTAACGTGATGGACATGTTGACTTGTACAGGTGTTAGCTAATAATATTAATGATAGGTGGGTGTCAAGATGACCAAAGAAGACAGAGCATTTTAAAATACAGTATGGTAGTGCAGCTTTTTTCTGTTTGGTTAATCATCATGTGTAACTCTTTACCAGTTTTATCCGATCATCCTAAACTCAAACCAAAACACTGCTTTTTTTAAATATATATTTTTTGGCTTTTGCCTTTATTTAGTGCAGTAGAGGGAGACAGGAAAGGGGGGAGAAGAATGGGGACAGACCTGCAGCAAAGGGTCGTGAGCGGGACTCGAACTCACGACCGCTGCATCGGGGAACTACAGCCCCTATTCACGGGCCGCCCGCTCTACCAAGGTTCAGCCGTGTGGTCATGAATTGATCCAGTGCTTCTTCTTTTATGACGCTTTCCTGTTGAGTTCATGCATTTCAAAGCCCCTTCTCTGTAAAAGGACATCGCAACCAGCTGAGGCCATAAATGCTGTGAAATGTGGCATCGGTATCGGCTACCAGCACATTTCATTTAATGCTTTATTTAATGAATTCTGGATGAAAATAAACAATGGTTACAGGGTTTCTGTAGTCGAAGTGCTTAAATAAGAGTCCCACTTTTTACTTACTGCATCACAGACTTAGATAATGTAGTTTTTTATTTGTTTGTGATATATTAAAGGTACTTAAACAGAATTTATTATTATTACACATTTTGCAGGGGACCAGCTGTCTTAGAATATTGCTTTTGCAGTTAGTATGCATGTATCTTGAGAAGGTTTGTACATACTGTAGAAACCAAGCAAACTTCACAAACGTTTACTTTTATGGTACGTTTGTATGATAAACACTGTTTTAACCTTTATATTTAAATGGATTGGGGAAGTTTACATCATAAACAATATTGTAGGGCCTTAATAGTTGTTCATAATTTTGATGTTCTGGGGTGTTTCATCCTTAATATTCAAACTTGTTGGGTACATTGATGTAATAAATAATATATCAGAGTTTTAATCTTAATATTTAAATTTGCCAGGTAATTTTTAAAAAAGAAATCTAGATACTGTTGTAAAGTCTTAACTTTTATGTTTATTCAGTCAGGTAAATCCGGTGTAAGGTCTCTACCTTAGGCACATTCATATAATAAATAATATTGTAGGATCTTAATGTATCAATATGTAAATGTGTTAAGAAATGTATATAATTCATATAATATTATGTATTTATATAATAAACAATATTGTAGGGTATTCACCCTAATATTTGATCAAGTTCACCAAATGTATATAATAAATAGTACTGTAGGATTTAAACCTCAATATGTAAAATACTTTGGTCAATATCATATGTTTGATATATATCGGTTTATATCAATAATAATAAGAATATTAATTGTGACTCGAATAGACTTGCCAATATGTACATCATAAACCATGAATGATATATTTGTTTCTTCCTGTCAGGGTATAAAACAAGTCAAATGCAGAAAAAAAAACCCAGCCAGTGATAATTTACATTTCACATTTTCAATTTACATTTTCTTTTATTTATATATTCACTGAACCTGAAGAGTGTTCGAGGTGGGTACATATAATGATATTGCCACCTGCAGCCTGGGTTAAATGCATAAACTGTATATACATTGTAGCGGTTCAGCTCACTGTAGCTGTGAGTGTTCAGAGTTTGTAGTGTCACAGTGACACCTGCTGGCCGGGAGGAGACTCTACATGTCGGTGTTGTGTTAAACTGAGGAGACGCACCAGCTGTTTAGGTTTGTTGACAGCACAACCAGAGTAAATACAGGTCAGTCAGTCAGTAAAAGCTGTTACTGATATTACACCGATTTATATCGTGACAGCTGCGGCACGTTTTAATTCGGCGGCTGCCTCGCCTTGTCGTTGTTAGCCGGAGCACAGCTAGCAAACTGCTAATTTAGCTAAGCTAGCCTGTCGGCTCAGTTCAGGAAGTGTAAGCTAGTGCTCGCTAATATTGACTGACTAAACCGTTGAGCTAACGGTACAACTAAGTTTAGAGGCTTTAAGGAAAAGGTAATTTACTCACAGAGGCTAATATTCCTCCGCAAGGTGGTAATTTGACAGTTAGCATTGAGTGTCTTGTGTTATCTGAAGCTAACTTCTCTAATTGTTGGGTCACACAATGGACTCCAGCTATAAAACAAAACGTGTCACTGTACAGTTGAAAGAAGGTCAAGGCTAGCATTGAATAGCCAGGGCTAACAAAATTAATGGTTGTTACAGAGTCTGACTCAGTGACTTGAATATAAAATATCGTCTTTGCAGTTGATTTAACAAGCTACTTTCGTCCCTGATTGCCGGTTCAGTCGCCCTGTGCTCATTTGCAGCCTGTCAGCTGTCATGAAAGCTTTGTGCAATAGTGCAAGAAGTATTGCACAATATTAAACTTCTCTGTTCCAAGCCTTAGTCTAGTAACCAATGCTTTGTCAAAACAGAGAAATATTATCCAAGTGTACATAAGACATGGAAAGTGAAAGCACTCATCTTGCACAGCTGCCTCTTTCTACTACACTACACAATTTATGTTAATATTACATTATGGGATTATTATCATTGGTTGGTGTACTTTAATGTGGTAGCTGCTTGAAAATGTGATAATTCTATTTACATAACAAACTGCTGACTGTTTAATGCATAATGTATAAGCTGATTGCTTGTAAAATTGACAGTGTTTGCTGTAGGTTGATGCCAAACAGATTCCCTGTGTACAGAACTATTCCTATTTTGATAATCATTTCAACCATTTCCATGCCAAGTGCCAAATAGTTCCTGCTTCCAACTTTTCAAATGAGAGAACTGACTGCTTTTTTCAGTTTTTAATCTCCCCACTAACTTAATGTCTTAGGTTTTGAACTTTTTGAAGAAGAAAAAATAGGACATTTGAGGGCAAGCTGAAATGACTAATCAATATGCAGACGTAGAGGGAAAATTAACAGGCAGCTCATTTGCTTTGAAGATACAGCTGGGTTCATTGATAATTGGAGAGTGACACAGTTTTTGTAATTTTGCCTCCTTACATCACCACAATGGATTTGAAATGCAGCAATCAAGATCTGATTCAAGTGCAGACTTTCAGCTTTAATTCAAGGGGTTTACCGTGAATATTGCATTGACTGTTTAGTAATTACAGCCATGTTTTACATAGTCCCTGTGTTGTCACAGGCTCAAAAATGATAGGACAAACTAACGTAATGATATGTCCTTAATTTGCCGTGCCATAACGACGAAACAGGCCACATCTGGCATTGAAACTGCCTTATTGCTTTGATTCTGAGCTTGTAAAAATAGAGAGAATCTGTATGAATGTTTGTTAAACCCCATGCTGAAGATGAAAATCTACACTTTAATCATATCTCTGTGGATTCATTTGAAATCTTTTGGGTAGAGAGGCAAAACTGGGGATTGTGTCACTGTCCAAATACTTACAGTAATACTTACCTAGTTTTCCCCAGCTTTATCCTCTCAATAGAGAGGATTTGTTGTATTTTAATTGTATTTTTAAAATTATATCTTGTGCTATTTTGATTAAAGCTTTTGCTTTCTTAAAGCATTTATAAAATGTTAGGAAGACTAATTGGTAATGGAAATAATTGTCAGCTGCTGCCTACTGTTGTGTAGTTTATTCTTTCTCTCTTTTAGTGGAGTTGTATTTTATGGGATGACAATGATTTTATATATTATCTTCTTCTAATATCTTGTGCAACACTCACCTCTAAAGTGATAAGGTGTTGATGCACAAGGTAGCAGATGGAAATAAAAACACTGAACCTCAAAATAGCACTTCTGCACAGTGCTTGCATAAATGGACTGAATTACTCTACACCACTGACTTTGTGTAGCAGCAGTGAGCATGTATTTGACTGATGGTGTTACAAGAAAAGTAACGTCGTCATCTGTGTTTGTCTCCTCTATTGAAACAGCCCTGAATGCTGCAGACCACAGGATGGACTCCAGTGGGAAACCCTCAACTGCACAGATCGTGGTTTTAGCCACCAGCTCTGCCCTCACTGCCGTCTTCTATTCCATTTACAGAAGCAGAGCTACGACAGTTGCAAGATTAAAGGTCAGCCACATTTCTGTCATGTGTGTAAGTGTGTGACTTTATTGCCTGTTTTGTTGCCTGTTATGTTTCAGCTTTTAATTGTAAATGTCTTTTCCACAGGAAGCAAAGAAAGTCTCGCTTGACCAAGATTTGAAAAACATCCTGTCTGAAACACCTGGAAGATGTGTCCCTTATGCTGTCATAGAAGGTTTGCTAAACTATTTTAAAAGCATAATTAAAGTTACTCTCATGTGAACTGCATGAGGCAACTTTCAATATCTGCAGGAACTTTTTTGAAATTCTACTATATAATTTGTTCATGAGCTCTTAGCTTTGACATGCATAATTAGAACAGTAGCTTCACGCTGGGTTTTCATTTATTGCTCACTGCAGGAGTGGTGAGATCTGTGAAGGAAACTCTGAACAGCCAGTTTGTTGATAACTGCAAAGGCGTCATTGAGAGACTGACGCTGAAGGAGGAGAAAATGGTGTGGAATCGCACCACTCACCTGTGGTAAGTCAGAGGGTTGAAATGATGCTATTTTGAAAATGTTAAACACAGATGAAGCTTAAATGACGGTTTTGTGCTGTTTACACAGCTCATCTGATTTATAAAAACATTTCTTTTTGCATGTTACAGTAAACACATCTGCTCCGTAAAGCTGTTCTCGTTTGAGGGAATAATCTGAAACCATGTGGGAGATTTATGTTTGATGTTTTTGGAGGGTTTTTTTTGCCCATGTTAGTCTAAATACCATCACCAAAGTCTGACATCTCAGCAGATGGAGATCATGAATTCATACAACCATTCAAATCTTACATAAAGCAGTTACATCAGTGTTGTATTAGAGGCAACACAGACAGCCGAGTGCTACACAAGAGCCCCAGACTCTGAACAACAAACATTTGCTTATTTCTTGATTGTTCTAACTTACAGATGTAGACACACATTTTGCTGTGTACCTCAACTTGTTGAAGGAAAGATTAAACATGAGCAAGGAGAAGTGCTCTGCTGCTGCTCAGTTTGCAGTCTAGATACGATTTTAGCTGCAACACATGAAACAGCATGTAAACAAACCTGTATGTAATGTCACTTTAGTCATGGTGGATTTTGTTCTTAGGAGGCACTCACTTTGTTTTGGTCATATTTATTACACCTAAACCCTTTTTTCTTTCGTCAATAATGACTTGAAAAAAAAACCCCAACAAAACAACATATTTAATACATGTTAACAATATTTTTTAATCTTTAAAATGACAGAGATAAGAAGAAAACACAATTGCTCTTTTTTTTTTTTTTTTTTTAAATGCCAAAAATATCCTTGATATTCAGTTTACCTCGATGTTTTCATCATTACAAATGGAATATTCTTTCATTTTGGACTGTTGGACAAAAACAAAATATTTGAAGATGTTATCTTGGTCACTGGAAAACCTTGGGTGACTTTCCACTGCAGGAACTCAAAGAGAGCAAAAAAACAATGTCTCATGGTAGTCACTGGATCCACCTGCAATTCTGTGGCATGTAGGAAAAAGAACAGTGGAGGGTTTGGTATTTAAATTCCTAAAGCTAATTTTACATTGTTGAGGATGATGTTATTGAGGAGACAACAACTCGACCACAACATCGAGTGGGCAAAGTCTTACGAACTGCCATCTCCTCATCCAACCAATCAGTTTCAAGCTCGCAAAGCAGTTTTTTCAGATACGCTGAGAAGAACCTCTCCCAAAAGAAGCCCAGAAAGAGATTCGACAAGGATGGTTGTTGAGGTCAGGATATGCACAAAGGTTCTGACAGTCCTAAAACAATCTAAAAGTTCCTTCAGTGAAAAACATATTATAGACCAAGCAACTGTAAATCAGCAGATTTCTGCAGAATGAAAATAATCATTGGTTGCAGCTCTAACTGTGATATTCCTGAACAGGAACAGCACAGAGAAAGTCATCCACCAGCGTACCAACACAGTTCCATTTTCTCTTGGGTCTCATGATGAAGATATTGCCTCCACAGTCCGGGTTATGCGTCCGTTGGATGCTGCAGAATTGGACCTGGAGACCACCTATGAGAACTTCCACCCCACGGTCCAGTCCTTGTCCAATGTTATCGGCCACTTCATCAGCGGGGAGCGACCCAAAGGCATCCACGAAACCGAGGAGATGCTGCGTGTGGGAGACAGTGTCACCGGGGTCGGAGAGCTGGTCCTGGACAACAATCTGATCAAGCTCCAACCTCCCAAACAGGGCTTCTGTTATTTCCTCACTCGGCTGGACTACGAGTCTCTCCTGAGGAGGCAGGGGAACAGCGTTAGGCTGTGGAGGATTCTGACTGTCGTGTTCGGCGTGGCTGCCTGTTCCATGCTTTTCTTCATCCTGTGGAAGCGATACCAGCACCACAGACAGAGTAAGAAAGAGAGGAGCATGCTCGAGGAGTTCAAGGAGCAGCAGAGGAAGCGTATACGTGAATTGAATGTGGAGGAAAGCAGCGTGTCCCCCACCAGCTGTACTGTCTGTCTGAGCCGGGAACGCTCCTGTGTGTTTCTGGAGTGCGGTCATGTGTGTGCCTGCACTCAGTGCTACGAGGCCTTGCCAGAGCCAAAGAAATGTCCCATCTGCAGGGCAGCGATTGACAGGGTGGTGTCTCTTTACAACAGCTAATGTGTGGATGTCTTGTGCGCTTGAACCTGGAAGTATGTCATTTAAAGTCAGCTTCTCAGGCTTTAAAAGGCTAAAATCAGCACTTTTTGTTGCATTTATTTTTGTTTTACTCGCTCTGATAAAGAGTTTCTGTGCTGAGTCATGATGCAATCACATTTCCAATCAAATCGAATTTGGAAAGCGTGATTCATCTTGATTGAGAAAATGACATTTCTTCTGTCATTGCGGGAGTGAAAGAAGATCTCTTTGTCCTCAAGTAACAAAACAAATATTGATGTTACAAATCTTGGCTCTACTTTCCGACAACAATCGATCTTAAAGGTTAAGAGCTTTTTCTGCGAATGTTAAAAATGCAGTACATCAATTACAAAGCATAAATGTTGTAAGTGACACAATGGACATTTTTCAGTGTGAAAACAAAGGTTACTGTTTATTCTACAAGTCTCAGCTTGTTGCTGCCATTATTCAAAATAAGCTGCTATCCTTCCTCCTGCAGGATGATGACACTGTTCTAAAATATCATATCACATATTCAAGTGTTGTGTCACTGGTTCAAGTCTCAGTTTATTAAATTTATTTGTAAGTGACCTTGTACCAAAAAAAACAAAAAAACATCACTCTCATACAAAGAGAAAAGATTCATTGTATCAGAGTTGGCCAAGAGCTACTTCTCATCTGTAGTCTCTTGGCAGGTAGACACAGGGTAAAAATAGATCCCTAAAATGATCAAAAGCAATAAAAACATCACTGAAACTTTCTCTGCAGTCCCTCTTTTAACTTCTTACAGTAAAACACGTTCATCCTGTAAAGAGCAAGACAGGCATGATGCTGTTGTGTCATTCCTTCCGAAATCATCACATTTTTCGAACAATTTCTGCTCGACCATCTTTGTCTACAATCTTTATAGCATAAAAAATGGATGGCTATAAATATATTTGTGAAATTTTATCTTAACGTATCAAATACCTTCCAAGTTTGTTTTTTTTTAATTGCCCGTCGACACACGTTGAACCACACTGAAAACTGACACTATGTTTGAATGACAATATCTTTGAAATTATTAAAAATGAAAGCATGAAATTTTCACTGTTATTTCTCATGATGTCATTGATTCAAAATCTGCCATATTATATAAAATGTAGCAGTCAGCAGGTGATATTTTCTGGACCATATGTTGTTGCATGTTACAATAATACAAGACTTACAGAATTCTTTTTAATATGAAGGTCATACAAATGAAAAGATGTTTTTGTTTAAGTATCTCAACTGACTGAACCGATATAACAAGCTGTACCACAAAAACATTGCTGGTTGTGCAGAAGGCCCCTGATGATTTCAGATGGAATAACCCTTTTTGGAAACCTCTCGTAATCATAGAAAGATACCATGGATTATGTAGTCATCTTGAGAAGCTGTGGGGGCCCATCTTGCTCTTTAGATTTGATGTCAGTGTGCACAGACTGTTGAGTCTCTCTGACAGTGTTTTCAGGTGTAGCTTCGCTGAGGTCTTGCAGTTGATTTCAGGTTGTGTTCAGTGCAGCACTCTGGAGAGCAGAGCCTGTGGTTCACACTGTAAAGAGTGAAGGGTGGTGGGAGGGGGGATAATTGTATGAGTGTCTGTCCTTGCTCTGGAGACAGGAGGCAAGCTGACCCTGTCCTGTTCTCTTTGATTTTCCTCTGGGTGCCTGCGAATAAATAAATGTGCAGCAGGTGCTCGGGCTCCACTGCCTCGGCCACAGTTCTCAGAAGAAGTGGCAGCTTGGGTTCTGCACAGGGGCGACCTCAGAAACATCAGAGCCATTGATTGTTGGACTTTGAACTTGAAATCCACTCACTGTGTTTGCACCCGAAACCTCATTAAAGACAAATGACATGTAGCCTGGTTAATGGGAAAAGGCTGTATTACTTTAATCATTTCAGTCACTAAGTAAAAAGAGGATACAAGGAGGAGGCTGACACTTCTGCCAGGAGAGGGAGGTGTTGGCCTTTGAGGATTTGAACTCGGAGAGAGAACGATTTTTAACCCCTGCTGTATTTTTGTTTCACTTAAACCTGCCTCTACATTCACATATTCAGAACATAATATCAATTCAGTTGCAGTTTATAAATCCTCATCCTTCTATAAAATACTGTGGTTAGCTTTTCTTTCTTTGACATGAAATGATTCAGTTTTTAATCAGGTGGCTAGCGATAGGTTTTCATCATAATGCTGCGTGGAAGGTGCTGACCTTTATTTTAGCTGTTATTTTTTTAGAAAATGGTTTGTATTGATTGTTCACATTTTTAGTCAGGAAAATTAAAAGCAAAACATTGAGACAGGCTAAAGGCTGGAGAAAATTCTTCAGCATGATTCAATTTTACGCCTGCAGGGCCCCTGGAGGAAGCCATTTTCTAGATTACACAAGAGTAGCCTTTGTAGTTTCAGATTATTCTGCATTATGCAAAAAAATCCTTTTTATCGTCCCACATTATGCCATTAATCCTCAGGTGTATTATTTAACATTACTTTGGGACCTTGGTATTATCATTACATTAGTATTCAGCAGCCGGCTCACAGATATCTATTTTCCAGGAGTGTGCTAATGTTGCTCGGTCTCTGAAGGAACCTGAGCTAAATGTCAGATATACAGTGTAATTGAGCAGGAAGAGCATTATGCAGTCCTCCCTGTTGGTGCCCTGACGGTACTAAAAGCCCACTTTACCGTCAGGCCTGTAGTTCAATTGTGAACAGACATTCAAACATCGATGCTGCTCATTTTCTTGCTTTATGTTCAGATTTTTCTTGCTGTGTTAAAGGTTTTGAACTACGTTAGCAACACAGTTCTGTCAGTCCTTCTGTCAGTCCCCAACTCTGGTTCAGGCTGATATGTTAAACTTTAACATTTGTCAGGCTGGATTGCCTGAAAGTTTAGGGCAGTTAGCCATTGTCCTTTGCTGTAGTGCCACTAGAAGGTTGACATTTTTAAAAACTATCTGCGTAGTACTAGCAAAAAAAAAACCAAACTGCCAAAACTAACCACGTCTCCATTAGCCGCGGCTGCACTTCTGATTAGCTAATGTTAGCATGCTAATTAGCGCAGAACAATTTCAAGAAAGTATCTAAATGCAGTTTTGCCAGCAGATATTGCAATTTTAGTTCCGTTTCACTGTAAACAGTAAAACATGAAGCATTTGCAAATGAGATACCATCAAAGGTATGACTGTCACACAAGGAAGACAACGTGAATTTGTAAAACTTGCAGCCTTTGCGACTTGCAATTGCTATTTTTTGTTTCAAAATCAAATAACTGTTCAGCCCTAATGCCAATACACTAATCCAAGATGGCAAACTCATAAACATTCAACCTGCTAAATGTTAGCATGTTAGCATATGGATATTCTGTTGCTTAATATATATTTCTAACTGTTTATGCAGTTTACAATAGTTGTAATTATTGCAGGGCAGCCCATTAAAGTGGTGGGTCTATACAGGTGATCTGTGTTTAAATGAATTCTCATGAGCACTCCTGATAAAAAAAAAAAAAGTGACAACATTAATAAATAGACAAATACAGCAGAAAGTGATTCAAGACAGCAGCTTTCATTACTTGTTTGAAAGATATTTATACTGTCAGGGCTAAAATATGTGTACAGATGCTATTTTAGGAATCAACATTTCTTACCAGAACATTTGATGATGTTAAACATTTAAAGAACAAATCAGTCCAATGTTGATTAGAATTATGATATCTTGTAAGCAGTTAATGATCTATGTCAACCCTGTTAACAGAATAAACCTTTAAAATGAATCAGTCCAATAAGATCAAAATCTCTCCAACTAAAATGAAAAGTTTCTATCAAACGTCATATTGTTGCGTCAGTACCTGAACCAGTCATGCCCTGAGGCCGCACAGTTATTGAAGAGCAACTGCAGCGACTGGCTACACAACCAGCAGCCAGCTCAACACTGAGATTATCATTACCTACATTTAGCTGTCAGAGCAAGTCTGGATCAAGTCAGACAAAAATCTGACCGGTGATTACTGATCATCGGTTGTGCGCAGGTCTGGCTAATCTCAGACAAGTCCAGTATAACAGGGAAACTCTGGAAACTATGTATCCAACTTTAACAAGTACAACAAACAAATATGGACGCTTCTCATCAGCCAGAGTCACTCAGTGCAATACAATCAAATGTCATGTTGAGACAAACACACATGGGAATCTTTCAGTCAGTCCTCTGTAATGTGTGTACAACACTTTCTGTCAGATGTACTTTCATGTCACATGTCAGAAGCTTGTAATTTCAAATGTTTATCATACACTTAGAATTCAAGTAATGATAGGAAAACATCCCACTTGTGCAAATACCACTTGTTCAGCCAACAGTCTTACATTAACAAAGCACTCTCAGTCATTGTGCTGCCAACATGAAAGCAGCAGCTCTGGTCCGACACCATGGAAACCCTTCAGTCTGCTCCTGCGGTGCTTTTAGTAGCAGGAGCTATCACTGACTGTTCTGACAGTGAGTGAACCATCAAAGACATTCACACTATTATTCCGTTCTTAAGAGTTTTGAATTTCAATGCCACATGAGGATTGGTCAAGAACTGCACCATCCGAGCTACACACAGGAATAATGATCCGTCATTAGGCCTTGTGAAAAAGGTAAGACGTCTACCTTGCAGCATTTACTCCCAGATGCACCAGTTAGCCCGGATTCAAATCCTCAAAATTCACATCTTTCAAAATAATGTGATCAGTATGGTTTTGCAGATACAGGTGATCTCTGGCAGTATAATCAGGCAAAAAGCACATCAGATAAGACACTGAACTGAATTGCACATTGGATTATTGCATAATCTGCTGCAACAACCATGGAAACTGGCTGCTATATCCTCAGTTAATGCAGAATCGTAAATGTCACTATAAGAATCCAGACAGTACGGTCAACATGTACTAATTTAAATGTACATCGCTGCTCTTTAGCTCTGGAATTTAATTTATTACAATAAGAATGACGCTGGAGGCAGCTCACAGCGATCAAAGTCTTAATCCTGACTAATTCTCTCATATTACATTTTGTTTTTCACAGCACTCTAAGCTCATAAAAGTTCTTTTGTACTTCAGGATAAGTGGACTTGACACTGCTATCTAATAAGCTACGATAAATGGCTTCTTATTAGAGAGTAACACCCTTGAATCACTTCAGTTATTCTTTTCTTTTATCTGGAAAGTGTTGTTAAAAGGCAAGGTAGACGATTGATTTTTACATTTTTTTTTGGAAGCTCCTTAAAGAGCACAGTGATCCATGTTCTTTGTGCACAGCAGCGACATTGCAATGAAGAAAAGGCCCCAAGGTTCATTAACTGCACCTCCCAAAAAAAAGAGGGATTCTCTAATTATTTGTCTCTGGGATGGAATTCATGTGAAATTATGTCGCTATGTTTTAGTGCCTTCCTGTTTCATAACGGTAAACCAAACTTAAATGAAAGGACTTTACACACTCAAAGTACATGCATAAGATACATTAAGCTCTTTTTCCACTACAATATGAAATACTCTGCTTCACTGTACAAAAAAAAAAAAAAAAAACAAGTTTGTCAAAAAGCAGTCAAATTTGGCAGTAATGGTGCCAGAAAAAAAAAATACAATAAAAACTAGTTGAACACTGTGAAAAATGTGATAACACCAAAAATCTGTGATATTTTTAATTTTAATTTAAATACAGTCAACAGGTTAATGTTGTGGTAAAATTATGTAAAAAGTCAAAATACTA